TCATCCATCGATAGACATTTCTGTTGCTTCTACCTTTTGGGTATTGTGAATGTTGCTATGAAGGTATGTATACACATATCTCTTTAAGAACCTACTTTCATTTCTTTTGGATATATGTCTAGAAGTGGAATTGTGGGATCATATGGCAATTCTGTTAATTACTACCTAATTTTTTGAGGAAGCACCATACTGTTTTCCATACTGGCTGCATCATTTTACATTCCCAAGGGTTTCAGTTTCTCCACATCCTCGTCAACACTTGTTATCTTTTTGTTTTTTTAATAGTAGACACAGTATTACTAGGTAAGAAGGCTTTCAGTGATAATGCAGTGCTCTTCTGATTTTGTTGGAGGAAGGTGATCTTAAAATATGGCTTTTAATTATCACTGGGTTCAGTCAAAGGGAGCCAATTATCAAAGGGTTGTGAGGTGGCATTCACATGCCTCTGAATTCAGGTGTTTCACCTGGGAGCTCGCAGGTGGCTTTGGAGTTATTGGTGTAAAGGACTGGCAGGCATTTTTTTTTTTCCTATTTGGGCCAGGAACTTCACTCCTGTAAATAACTTTGGGTTTGCTTGTGTGATACAGGACCAGCCATGCCAAATTGTAGGTATTTCTCATTACAGAGACTCAGTGAAATAGTTCTTTTGCAGAACCAAAGAGGCTAGTAGGTTTAGCTTTTTCCTACAGGGAAAATTTTCATTTTCCTAAGTGTTGACAGCTGTGTTTGCATGAAACACTCCTGTACCTAACAATTACAGTTTGGTGAAGGAAACAGAGCACGTTCGGCGTATTAGGCTTCTGAAGTCTCCAGAAGAGTTTGCAGTAAAACACGAGGGGCCTGAGAGATGCACAAGTGCTTTCTGAAGGGCATTTTTGAAACCATGGAAGAGTTATATGTTTAACCATAAATGTTGCATTACAGCTGCCTGCAAGATTATAGGGTCAAAGAGGTTGAGTAAGGAATATTTATAAATGGATCCCTTAACTTTAGTTTGTGTGTAAAAATGGAACTTCTGTGTGGGTTAACTTATTTTTTTCCTTGTCCACTTGTGTGGATTTTTCTTCTCCGCAACAGCAGTTCTTGATGGCTTACAGTGAACACAAAAGAAAAACCATTCTTTACAATGGCTTGGGACAGACAGAAGCATGTGGTTGCATTGGGAGGTCATATTCCAGTCACCCCTCCCCCCGCCCCCCCATTTTGCCATTCTAAACTCCGGCTTGTAGAGATGAAAATTTGACTCAGAAGCAGCTTGGTTTAATAATCAGGAGTTAATAGCATTAAGTAGCATCATAGTACCCAGTACACTTCATTTTACATCTCATATTTTTCTTTGTGCTGTTTGTACCCCCACTGGTTAGAGCCTTCACAGTAAATATAATTAAAGCTATTGAAGCCAAAGCATATAAGGATGTTCCCTCTATTATTAGCCAGTCTTCAATGTCACTGTAATAATGGCGCTTTGTCTAAGAACCCTGAAAACTCTGCCAGTGCTTCATAGGCTTTGTAAAGTGAGATAACCACTGCTTGTCAACAGGGGCAGGCCAGTCACCCCCAGCAGGGATCAGCCACTCCTGCCTCCTACTGTTGGCTGATTTAATCTCTTCGGAATAGTAAAGCTGGATTAGGAGTCCACAGCTAACATCGCATGCCTTTCCATAGGCATGGTACAAGGAACAGGGGTCAACTTCATTGCTTTCTTGAGGTGTGGTACCTCCTGTCCCCCAGCTCTGTCTTTTTACTTTGTAAGTTCAGAGCTGACTCAGGGAGAAGCCGCTTCAACATCACTGGTCCTGATCACGGTCAGTGGGACCGCATCTCAGTCTTTGTTATTCACATAAAATACGGCACTGCCTCTGAAGGCAAAAAGGCAGAAGGCCGGGTTTACTTTACTGTTAATTAATTGATTGATGAGTTGTACCCTTTATGTTTAACAAATAGATATTAAAAAGTCTGCTGTGTGTTGAGAGAGCTGTGCTAAGCTCTGTAAAGGGCTATAAAACAAATGTACAATGCAGTTTCTATTAAAGTCGTCCAGAGTATAAGATGGAAGCAGGGAGGACAGAGAAGATGCCCAGCTGGCAGCAGCATGGACTGCATCGCGTGTGCAGAGCATATGTGCCAGCGAACTCCAGGGAAGGGAGCTGGCCATGAAACCGAGCAGAAGAGGAAATAAAGGCAAAGCAAATGGGGAATGCCAGGTAGAGAGTTACTGGGTTGGCCAAAAAGTCCATTATGTTTTTTTCTGTATAATGGTTCTAGTAGTGCTTTGTTGTTTTTAGTGTCATTTAAAACAGTTTTGTTAGAGTGTATTGTGGCAGCTGTCATATCAGAGTGCATTAAAAAAAAACTTAACCAAATTGGTGAATTTTTGTGCAGTCATTTTAATACTGAAGATGGAAGAATATATAGAAAATTGTTGGCATATTATGTTTGTTATTTCAAGACAGGTAAAAATGCAACTGAAATGCAAAAAATAAAAAGATTTGTGCAGTGTATGGAAGAGGATGCTGTGACCGATCAAATATGTCAAATTGGTTTGTGAAGTTCCTTGGTACTATTGATATTTTGGCTAAATATTTCTTTGCTGTGGGGCTTTCTTATACATTGCAAGGTGTTTAGCAGCACCCCTGACCTCTGCTCACTGGAAGACAATAATGGGAGATACCCTACATACTCAAAACATCCAAATCAATAAAGTTATTGGTTAAAATGAAAAAAATGTGTCTTTTATGGAAAAAATCTAATGGGCTTTCTGGCCACCCAATACTTTCTGCACAATGATTGCTGATTCCTTAAGGGCCTCAGCTCTTTAGAAAATATATCCTAACTCTCCAATAGTAGTTAGGTTCAGTATTGTTAAAATATATAAATATTTTTCATTTGATAATGAAAATAATAACTTTTTTTTTGTAGGGTAGAAGACTTGTAAAAGACACAGAGACACGGAGAAAATAAATCACCCTTATTGTGGAATACGCCCTTACTCTTTTTTTCCTATGTAAATGGATTCTCAGGCCAGAAGGTGAATAGATTTCGTAAAGGATAAATTTGGGTTGGATTCATAGAAGACCACTGAATTGGTTTTTGTGATGATAATTTTGACCTCTACCTTTAATTTTGCAGTTATTTTGGAAATTTTTTATCACCCTTGGGAAAAAAAGTCCATTTGTTTTCATTGTAGAGTATTTGAAAGCAAATGATTTTATTATGAAGAGAATGTTTTTAATGGATAGACTTTTGGGAATGATAGGAGATGGAGATTTTCTCATAAATTAAATAGAAGTTATGATTTTTAAAATTTTTATCTATAAGTCTATAAGATATTTACCTATGATAATACCTATACTAGGTAAATATCTTTACAGTCTTATAATGTTGAATTTTTGTATGTTTTACAGTGTATTTTTTCCCAGAAATGATGTATGTAATTAAGAAGGTGCATGTATATTTCTTAATTATTATTTGTCTCTTTTTATCATTAATGGAAAGTCTATGTGGGTTAAGTTGGTAAGGAAAGAAAACTATGAGATGTCAGACAATTTACTTTTTGGTATGTGCTAAGCTATAGGTGAATTTAAGATCTTGGCCTCTGACAGGTGCATTTGGAACAAGAAATTGCCTGGGAAATGGCCTTCTGCACTTTGGGAAGAGCCTGGCTTTTGAAGCATGTTTTCTGATCTGCCACTATTATGTTTGCTCTGCCCATTTGTGCCAGACCATGAAAGCTAACAGTGGGATCCTGTGTTTTGGAAAAACTGTATGAATTCTCCGTGTTTTGGAAGTTGTCACTGTCCATAAAACTACAAAGTAGAGTGTGTGCCCTTTGACTGATTGAGAGGTCTTAACCTTTTTGGAAATTGATGGCTGGCTCCATGCTATGGTTTTTAAAAAGGCATTGTTTTTATATAATGTCTAGTTGCTCTAGTTCTAGAATGTCTTTGTTTTTTTAAAAAAAAGTTCTGTGTGACTCTGAGACCTTTTGTTTGCGAGGGAAGGGCTGTTACAAACTGAGGGACCAGGGTAACGAGAACATACGATTCTAAGGAGGAGCGATGCGGAGTGACGAGGACTGCGGCAGACGAGAGAACGCTCACCTCCCCAAAGGCAATGAAAAAACGAAACACCCTGTGACAGCCGAACAGACAGTGCAGGTTCAGTGCAGCCTGAGCCTACAGTCTATGTCTGCTTAGGACAGTTATGCCTGGAGTAACAACAGTAGCAGAGTAGTAGTATAATACAGTAAAAATAGCTAACAATTTTTGATCGCTTACTCTGCGCCAGGCACATGCATTATCTCACTCTGTCTCCACAATAAAGGTAAATACCCTTATTAACCCACTTAGACATAAAACTGAGGCGGAGAGACGGCATTTGGCCACGGCACAGGGATGGTAAGCAGCAAGTCAAAGCCAGGTTTGTTTGACTCTGGATGTTGAGCTCTGCGATGTGTTTTGATTTTAGGCCACAGAACTTTGAATTGCATTGGGTAGGAAGAAAATTGTCAGTCAGTGGTTAAGTTACTCAGTGTGGGCACCGGCCAGCTTTGTGACCTTGGAGGAGGCAGCCAAGCCTGGGAGAAAGGGCAGTGTTCTTGGTCCTAGAGGAAGAGGGAAGTGCCGTGTCAGTGTGCAGCCGTGTGGCCAGGCTGGAGAGGAGTCTTCACCCGGTGCCCGGGGAAGTGACTAAGGGAAGAGACAGTCCCTGCAAGGTGCAGAAGGTGTGTGGGGGGTTGGGAGTGCGGGGTGTGTGCAGCATACAGAGGTGGAAACTCAGGCTAAATGGAAGTTTAGTAGGAGCTTGTAATGGTGTTGGCAGATGTGAGTAATGTCTACAGGGATATTAGGTGCCGTTGGTTTAGCAGCGTATGAGGGACTATCTAGGGCTGTAGCATAAAGAATTTAAACGCCTGGGGTCTGAGATTTAATCCAGGGCTTCCTGTTACAATATGCTTTAAAACTAAATGAGGTTTTCGTCTGGGTGGAGGGGACTGACTTTTCTCCGCTGGCTTTTGTTCAGTTATCTCCGCAGGCGCCCCTCACTCACCTCAGGTGGATTTTCTGGGGCGTAGTGGATCTCTATCAGGATCACTGGCATTTCCCGTGGCATTTAGTAGAAAGAGAGTCATAAAGAAAGAATGCTGGGAAGAACCTTTGGTTGTTGACTTAACCAGCAGCACAGAAATGTTTGTCTGTTAACATAGCACCTTTAAACAAACAAGCCACTGACTTGTTGCACATTGTAGCTCTCAAAGCCCCTCTGTCTAAATGAATTGAACTCAAGGAAGTGAAAAGTAAAGTCTAGCTATTCCTAACTGGCAACACGTGAACATGAACCTTAGGAAACACAGCAGCCTCTGTGAGAGACCTGTCTGTATAACCCTTACAGACCCCTAAATTTTTTAAGAATTAAAAAAAATATATATATACACACACATAGTTAAAGGGCTGTATCTTGACTGTTTTCCCTGAAAAAATGTGAATATACTACAAAAATATGTGAGAAGTTAAGATTGATGAATAGAGTTTGCTTTCTGCAGCCTGAAGACTTTTAAATAGACACTGAAGGAGGAGGAAGCAAACTTAGTTGCAAGAAACCTAATACTGCTGGAAGAAGGGGGAGACGTGGGACCAAAAATAGAGCAGGAGCCGGGTCTAGGGAAGCCCTTTTGTTGAGTTGTTTCATTGGCTTTAAATGATCGCTTTCCTAGAAGCAACAAGAAAAACTGGTCCAGTTTGTTTTCAGAATTGGAAGAAAATACTTATGTAAGCAGCTCCTGGCTTTGCAACAGTTTCCATCTGGAATATCATTTAAGAATTTGGCCAGATCTCAAGTGATTTATGTTTAGTAAACAAGACTGTCTTCAGCTTCCTATTGTGAAAGAGCAAATGGTTTGGGGTATAGTTGCTGCTTTTCAGTCTCTTTTCATTGCTTGTCCAAGGTAATACTGCGTTAATCTCCATTATTCATCTCCAGTGTTCGGTTTGTGACCGTGTTTCTGAAGCAAGAAATCAGAACAGTGGTGGAAGTTAGAACGGCTTAGGCGATGAGTACCCTTGTTGGAGAGCCACCAAAGCCCCACCTGTTCTTAAGGTTGGTGGTGGGGGAGTGAGACACAGCTTTTGCAGAAACTTAAAACTCAGCTTTTTTTGTTTTTCATATTTCAGGAAAGATGCTTTTAGTTTTATGGACAAATGACATAGGGGAATTTCAAGTCAGCTCTTTTGAATGCTTATGATTTTTCATGTGTTAAGAGTTTACTTTTTCTCCTAATATGGGAAAACATTTCTCTCTGAAATGGTGGGTATCTAGTAAAAAATGACATTTCATTTTGATGTTTGAGGAGACATTATTGTGAAAATGTGAATACTGAGGCACTGTTTTTTGAAATGCGGAGAAAATGTTAATGTTTTACATTTAAATTATTTTTATAGGTCCCCTGTTAAATTCTTCTAATTATTAGGTTTAAAATATTTATGGGAGAGAGGTAAGCATTTTAGCAAAGAAATGGTAATTTTATTCTGCAAGACAAAAAATACTAATGAAGTGTTTCAGAGCACATAATTTAGGAAAACCATATAGTATGTATTTCAGAGTCACTGAAGATATAAAAATAGTTACATTAAGTTAGTAAGTATTCTGCTATAGTAACTTCCTCTAAAACCTCTTCCTAAATCTTAAATTAAAGGTCTTTTCCTAAACTGGTTATCTTAATATTTTGAGTTTTATATCTTACACACAGTGCACACCAAGCAAAAGATGAAACGTTTAGAGGTCACTCTGTCTTTCAGGTTCTATCAGCTATTTTGAATCTAACTCTGAAACTGTTCCTGACGGCTTGGCAGCGAGCCATGCACTTGTCATTTTAGCTTGTTAGAGTGAAGTCTGGTCCTGTCAAGAGCAGGTTTACTAGTCTTTTTTAATTGCTTAAATTTTTTCATTTCCAAAATCAGATAAAGAATTTAAGATGGTGATAAATGTGGACTGAAGTCAAGTAAAAGCTCTGAGTAGATCAGGAATCCATGGAAGGAGGGAAATGCAGAGATGGATGATTTTATGGCTCTTGTGGAGGAGCGGAGGGTTGCTCAAGCTTTTGTATCTAGAACAGAGTTTCAATTGTGCAGTTGAATGAAACGTATATGGTATTTATTTGACTCTAGTATAAACAGTTTTGTGCATTTTTTTTGTTGTTGTTGCATTTAAATGTGCCACCTATTCTTCTGGAGAATGGGAGGCTAAGTATTAGAAAGTTGAGGAAAAACTGCTGAAGACAAGGTAGAATCTGGAGCAGACAAAAGAGAGGGGTTGTCTCGTGAGCCAAAGGCGTTACCTGCTCAGGGGTGATGTCAAAAGAACCTACAGTACAACAGAGAGAGGAGAAATGGCTAAAAAAGAGCCGAGGAGGAGAGACGTTTAGGAAGAGGCAGGAAGAGAAAACAGTTCTGTTGAGTAGAATGTCTACAGGTGCCTCTGGGAATAGGAGAGGCCAAGTTCCCCGGCAAAGGGTCAGGCTCCTGTTGTCCATGCGTCTGGCAGTCTGAGGTGTGGAGTCTGTGGCACTCATTATGCCTGTGAGAGGGAACAGATGTGGAAAAGGAGGTTGGGGGTCTATGAGCCTCCAGGGATATGTTTAGAGCCTCAGCGTCTTGTGCGTGACCTTGCGGGGCTGGAAGACAATAGCAGGTGGGACTCTGTGATTGACTGGGTAATCTAGTTGAGTCAAATCAGAGCAGCCTAACAGGCCCGTCTCTTTCCAGGGAATCATTCCACCCCTGGAGGACTTGGGGATGGGATTTGCTTTGTAATGTGTGAGGGTAGGGCTGACCATGAGGAACTTTGGACTTGTGTCATTAGAACTCTCTTTTTGTTTCCTCCGCCCTCTTCCTGGGGTGCACCGTGGGTTCACATTGTTCGGTGACAGGACCCAATTTGCTGGAAATGTATTTCATAGTCTGGATCTTTCTTGATTGTCTTCCCACTTACCAAAATTTACTTGTTTACTCTCTGGTATCCCTATTCTCTCCAAGTAACTGGAACTAATTTGGTTAAAACAACAACAACAACAACAAAAACCCTTTGTTCTCTTGTTGAGAGTTAATATAAATATAACTCCTTCTTTGTTATATGTTTGCATGCAAAAGAAGGATTCGCATTATGTTGACTCTAAGAAATGGTGACATTTTGGGCATATCTTTGGGTAAATAATATGGTGATATTACAATGGAGTCTTTGTATGCATATATTTTACTCATGGAAATTAAACTCACACACTTGGCTAAAAGAAAAAAGAAAGGACAAGAAGTAACAATTGAAATATGATAAGCAGAGTCCTGGAGTGAACATGAGATTGGAGATACGAGCCTGCAGCTTGTAGGGAGATTTCATTTCCTCTCAGAGCTTGAGCATTGGGTTTAATGGTGTGACCCATAAAATGCAAGCAAAATACTTTATTTAGTAATTACCTGAAGAGTTAAATAGTCTTGCCCAAAAGGGCCAGGAAAACTGGTTATCTTAGACTTAGTGAGAGCCAGCATAATGTTGAAGTTTATGAAGAATTTCAGGGAGTTTTCAAGGATAGTTTTAACTGTTTGTAATTGCTGCCTTGAGTTTGACCTGGGCTCTAACGTGGTTCCCTGTGCCAGTAGACATGACTGTACAGTGTTGGTTGGCCAAGGGTAGTTCTTTCAAGACTCCTGTAAGCTCCTTTTGAGATTTGGGACTCTGTTGCTCATCTTAGCCAAAGGAGCTTCGATAACATTTTTGTTGAATGAAATAATGAATACGTAACACCTGTGCCTGGTGCCCTCTCTTCCCCTCGTGGTCCCCGGGACAGGCATGAGTGGGGACATTATGGCCGCTTGGGTGTGGAGCAGATGGTTCTTGTTGAGTGGTTTAGATCGTCTGCTGGAACTGGATTGCAAGGTTCTGACTTGCTGTGCGGTCTTTCCTTCCTGCCCCTCGGTTCCTGCCCTAACCAAAGAAGGTAGCTATGGGGATTGGTAGAGAGTAGGACGATGGTGTGTATATGAGACCCTGGTGGCTTGGAAGGTGCTATTACTATCCTTGGAAAAAACCCCCCAAAACAAACCCATATTTTCCATTCCACGATAGGACATGTGGTCATTGCATGCAGTTTTAGCACCCGAAGAATGGATGCCTCACTCCGCTTACCCTCCCACCCCCACTTAGAAGGTTCTATTTCCTCATTTGCTCCTTAAAGGTGGTTTTGAATACTGGAATTATGAGTGACTTACAAATCAAAGCCTAATAGAAGATGTGCCATCCATCTCCCCGAAGTCACTGTCTTCCCCTATCCCTCCCCAGCTCTGTTCTGTCTTTTCCCCTGTGGTCCGTTGCGGACTGCGGTTATGATCCCAGTAACTTTATGTGTGACTTGCCTGGCAGCTTACAAATGTGTTTCATAAAGAAAAGTTTTACCAGTTTAGCAGGTGGCCCTGCTGATAACAATCCTGAGCATGTGGCGTCTTGTGCTGTATCTCACGAGTATCACCATGGCACTTACTGCAAGCTGTCTGCTTGATGGGGTAGGGTTAAGTGAAGATAATTACCGTTGGAGCCTGTCTGTTTGTTGTTTGCCATTCACAGATGTTCTGTGGCCCTCAGTGAGTTTGGAAGCTCCTGTGTATGAACCCAGACCTTCATACCAGACACAAATGGGATCTCACTGCTAAGCACTCATTCTGATAATGTTTTTAGTGTTTTGTCAGCCTCTTGGGCCAGTTTGATCTTTTTACATTTTTAATATGCCACCCCACCTCTGTTGCATTGAATAGAATCACAGAAATGGAGGGACTTGTAGAGGTAATCAGATCCAGTGTTCTTTAAACTTTCTTTATGAGTAAAACCACTCATAAAATATAATTTATGCCAATATGTACATCAGAGAAAAGCTGAACTTCCAGTTCGGAGAGAGACTAAAATGGGAGCTTCAAATCCTCTATTGTTTCTTTACTCCCTTTCCACCCCTGCATTGAGGTATCTGGATGGAACATCCAGGGCTCTGCAGAACTCAATTTGAAAACCGCAGCTCTGGTGTAAAGGGTGTTTTTCTAAGTCTTAGGCAAATCTCCTTAGCCCCAATTTGCTGTTTATTGCTTCCTGAAAGCGAAACTTTAAAACAGAACTGCTCAAGTTTTTCGTCTGCATTTCTCTGGGTGCGAGTCCCCTAGCGACTCTCCCCCGTCATCGTGGAGCTTATTGTGTGCCGTGAATGTGCAGCCCAGCCAGCGTGCACTGTCGAGTACCACAGGTCGAGAGCTGACCTGAGTCACAGAGTGGACCTGCTCTTTCTCTTTGACAACGGTGGTATCTGGATGAGGCTATGAATATGCTTAAGAAGTTAGGATGTCCTACCTGGAACAGGCTTTAATTGTAGATCATTGATTCTCAAAGTGTGGCCCCCCAGCCAACAGCAGCGGCAACATCCCCTAAAACTTGTTAAAATCCTTGGCCTCTGCCTCAGACCTGCTGCATCAGAAACTTCGACGGCGGAGCCCAGCAATTGTCCTGAACAAGCCTCCTTGGTGACTCCGCTGCCCACTGAAGTCTGGGAGCCACAGGAGCTGGACAAGGCAGCGACGGTGCCAGGCGAGGGCTGCTTCCTGCCCTCCCGCCCCCTTCCTCCAGCAAACTTCTTGCTTCGCTATGGAAATTTGATGTTTTCTCAATCTTCCGTGACATCCTAAGCAACTTTATCTTCAAAACAAATACCCTAGGGCTACCTTTCAATTAGATTCCCATCCCT